AAAGACTATAACAATCTCTAACAGACACAGATAGATCTGTGAATTCCGGCGTGAAAAAGTCCTAATCTAGCATCTCCAAAGACAGAGATTTGATACGCGCTCAAGTCTGCTTTTTCTTCTCAACTCAAGCCAGATCTTCAATGTCTCGCACGTGACCTACAGCATCATGAAGCTGGCAATCATGTTTGGTGGGGCAAGTGTTGCAGGAATGCCCACAAGGCATCTCTGGCTGTGCCTCCAGCCTTTCTTTCACCTTGGGCGCAAGGTGCTCCCATGCTTGCTCAAGAGCTTCTGCAGATTTCGGGGCAGCTTCAAAGCTTGACAGCTCCTTGGCTTTTGAATCCCAATCACCAGACCCCAGCTTCGACACAAGTTCAACTAAGTGAATCTGCCAGTCTTCCAGGCCGTCAGAGAAAACACCATGACAAGGCTCCATCTCATTCATTTCAGCACCCCCTCTAACAAGAAGATCCCGAAACTCCGCTTCATCCAGCTCCAGCCAGCTCTCGACAAGGACCCCATTTAAATAGAGCTGCGGAAGCGCAACAGCGAGACTTGAAAGAGTCTGCAAGCCTCCAGGCAAATCAGGTCCTGACTCATTTACATTCACAGCTTTCACCGCCTTGACGCCAGCTGATTTCAGTTTCATCACTCCGAGAGCCGATCTTTCATCTTCCGGTTCTTTGATACTGCCGCGCATGAACAAAATGGCATTGAGGCCTTGTTGGTCGCCCAAGGAAGCAGCTACAAAAGCTGCCCAGGTTGATTCTATTGAACTCACATCAGAGGAGTCGGCGTTTTCATTGTTGAGCAAGCCGTCCACAAATTGGATAGCTGCTGCGTTGCCATCCTGCTGAGCCAAGGTGCGGGCCAAATCTAGCTTCTTCCGTGCTGAAGGATCTTTCAATTGCATAAGCGCCCACCCATGTCCGAGAGCAACAGCTGCTCGCTTCGAAATGTCAGAACCGGCAGCTGCCTCTGCTGCTTGGTAATGCACTAAAGATTCTCTTGTGCCACCAGGACCTGCCATAGTCCAAAGGGCTTCGGCCATAAGCAAGTGTCCATCTAAATCCAGGGTGTTGATGGCTTCAAGACACTCAATTGCAGCAGCTGGCTTGCCTTCACTCAAGAGTTGGGCAGCTTGGACAACTTCAAGACATTGCCCATCACTCATTTTTGCTGCATTGGGAAGTTCGGGTGTTCAATCAAGACCTCGCTTCTAGATGGAAGAGTATGATCAATTCAAAATCAAGACAGGACTAAACAAATCTGCTGTGCCAGAAAACGAGAGTTGATTGTAAGATTTGGCTGCTGCCTCGAACGGAAAGTCCACTGTGGCTTACTCACCGAGATAAGATTCCATGCAAACCTTATGTTCAGTATTAGCTTGTATCTCAATGTTTTTGCCTCTTTGTGAGGGCATAGAATGGCTTAGATCTGGAGAGTCGTTGCACTTCAAAGGCAGGTGCTGAAGGTCTTCGGCCAAAGATGAACCACACTCTCTAAGTCTCTGTTTGGAGCTACCAGCTTACAGACCAAGATCTTCAGTTCTCAATAAGCAAAACAACTGCCAGTCTTGATTATTTTGGCCCGGCACAATGCATTTAGACCGTAGTACCAGATCCTACCATTTCACAACAGAACTACTGTGGGTGATTTGGTCCTTTGCAGGCTCTTATGAGTCTGTTGGCTGGTCTCAAACAGGCCTATCTAATTGTGCTTGTGCAGATTCAGAGCTTGAAGAATGCGCAGTGAAATTGAAAGTCCCTGCAAGTACAAGTGCATTAACCATGGTCATACATTGTAAGATGATTCTAAGTCTATAAATGGTGACCACGTCATCCTGCGAGGCGAGGTCAACAAACCCACATCTCATTGTGAAACTATCAAGACACAACTTTGCTCTCTTTGTGCAGAACTTGTTCATTCAGGGAGTACCTGGACCTGCTGTCATCAAAAACTTTATATAGACTACACTGGTTTGACATCAGCAGTGTTCGCAAGTCACAACGGCATATGTCAGCCAGTTCAAGTCCACAACCTGTCCTGCCAAAGTCCAGTTCCCTCCATTCCGGAGCACTTGCTCGCCAACTTGCATCCTCACTCACTTTCAAATACCGTATTCCCAACACTTCAGAATCTGCTTTCGGATTGATTCCATTGATCCTGTCCTTTGATTCTTCATCATAGGTCTGCCATGCCTGCTCAACACGCAAAATACCATTGACCTTATCCTGCCTTATCTCTCTTCGCCTCCTTGGGTCCAGCTGAAGGCGTCTCAACAAACCTTTCGAGAAAGACCAGCAAAAGGCATAGAGGCATGGAGGAATACGTATCTTGGCAGAATACCCAACAAATCTTGGCAGAATGCATGGAAACAGGAAAACAGGACTCAACATGAAACGGAGCGCGCCATTGTGCTGGTCGAACTGTTGGAATCTCATCTTCATCTGTACGTGCCGCTTCTGAAATTTGAACCTGCAACATCACACAGGCCAACATTTGGCTCAGCCATGGAAAAACAATCATAGAAAAATGCAGAAGGGCATGACGGTACGGCTCTTACTTATCTGAGCTGTCCTCAGTCTGATCTTCACTTCCATCAACATCGAAAGTCGATTCAGCCTGAAATGATCAAATGTATCAAATGCCTGAGTATCTTTTACCACTTGTCGATTCCAGGTAAAACAAAAATGACAGCAAAGCCAGCCGGCTCCACATCTGAGAAGCCACCAAAAAAGGTCGGGTCCACCCGGTCCGCCCTCCTAGGCGAAGCAAAACAAAGTGGCAACATCTGCATGCCGCATGATAATGATGAGGCCTCCGCGTTGACGAATGAACGGCATCTATTTGTAGCAGCGGGAACTGCAACGAAATTGGTGCATTACAACATGAATGTCTATTGCATCTGTAGTTTAGATGAATATAAGGTCTACCGCCGGCCTCTCGCCTTGAATCTTCCTGTTTTTGCCCTACGGGACCGACGTTCTCTGCCACAGAGGATGGAACACAAGCACACACGCCTCGCAAAGCCTTTGCTGATTGCTCGTCCTTCGATGACTCTCGCAATGTCCTGAAACTAGTTCCACTTTGTTTGACTCTGTTTGCACTTGATAACAAGCAACACTCCAACGAAACCTGACCAAGGCCATGGCTGACCGTGTTGAAGCAGGCATGGTGCAATAGCCTCGACAGACAACACTATATACATTCCTCCGACGGAACCTTCATTGGGTGGGTTCAACGCAACCTGGCCTCGTGCAGCCGCTCTGGTCGGGCCTGCACACAATTCTGAATTCAAACTTTGTGGTTGTTCCGCTAGCCGCAGCCACTCCCACCTCTGGACCATGCCCGAATGAGAACGGCAAGCCAACAAACCAAAACACCTTGGCAATCAAGTTGCACTACAAACAACTCATCAATTTTTTTGTCCACTGAGAATGACACCCTTATCATCCTAGTTTGTGATCTTGTGTTTCAACACGGGGTGTTCCTGCAAGCAATTTGGCCAATCACACAGGCGACATTCAAAAGCAAAACATTGTTTTCAAAAGGGTAAAGCTGCGCAAAGCTGGGTAAAGGTTCCGACAAGAATATGTAGTAGTACCGCGGACGCGTTCTGCAGCAGGACAAATATGCTGACAATGCGAACATCAAGATATTTGCAATCATGCACCTTCCAAAGTGTCGTTCTCGGAAATGGACATGGGATTCCCTATGTTCCTAAGATCGAACTTGTCCAAAGCCAAAACAGCCGCCAAAAAGTAGCTATATGCCATTCACCCATGAGGGAACCACCTTGTTTTTGTTCACGGCCGTGTTAGGGACCCCATGGCCAAACGCAAATTTCACCGTTTTTCCCATCTGCTACATCGACATCACAACATCATCGATATCGCAACATTGTCATCAATTTCACACCAGTGGCATCGACATCACAACATCATCGGTTTCACAACATTGTCATCGATTTCATCGATTTTCATCCATTAGTCGTGTGATTAAAAATGGGGTGGGGGGTGGTGTGGGGGTAAGTGAATCGAATTTCACAACATTGTCATCGACATCTCATCGATTTCACAATGTTGTCTTCAACATCACAACATTGTCATCGATCAGTCGTGTGGTTAAAGGTGGGGTTAGGGGTGGGGTAAGGCGATTTCACAACCTTGTCATCGGCATCACAACATCATCATAGATTTTGCAATGTTGGGGTGAAAAATTGTCATGCCAGTCTGTGTTCAGAATGAATGCAAAACCTTTGCTGTTGTGGAAGCTGGGAAGCCCCAGCAAAGATGGAGCATCGACGAAGAAATCATTTTTAGACAGCACTAAGAGCCGTTGTTGTCTTTTCTAATTTCTAAGTGGTTTTTTTCACACTTGCAACCAGAAGAAGGCGGCCACGAGGCCCAATGGTGTCTCACCACGGCGCAAACAGTCACCACAATCGTCACAATTGTGAACTATTCAGGACACTGCATGATTTCCGAAACACTTCGCGGAGCGGGGTTGGACAAAGGAAGATGGTCCACATTCAAAACAGAACAAAAGCGCGTTCCTTTTTTTTCCACGCAGCCGCTTGAAAAAAATGAAACAAGGTGCACTCACGCTCTTCCAAGCACTGACAAACAGCACAAGGGCGCCAACACCGGGGCTTGCTTGGTGGCTCACAACAAAACTACAGGCACAGATTTCGCCAGCATGAACGCCCCCAAAACAGGTCGCCCAGACAAATCACACCCTCACAAGCACACTTTCCACAAACAACATTCCAACCAGTCTCATCAGACCAACTCTGTCGACAGCGCTGCACCACTGCAAGCATCATCCAAACACGCCACACCCTCACAGGCGCATTTCCATTGCAAACATCTCAAACGTCAAACATGATCATTGACAGATGACCAACAAGCTGGTGGTAGATGACATGTACGCTGCACCACCATACGCATGCACAAACACAAACATCCGCACGCGCGCGCAAACTGATACACCGTCAGCACTCGCTTCTTTTCTGCCCGCGTTTCTTCTTGTTCCCGGAGGGGTTGTCTGTTCTTGTTGGTGAAGTTGTTAACGTGTGGGATTGTCCGGCTCTGTGATTCTCAAAAGCCTTCTGCGTCTCCTTCCACCAATCACAAAAGGAAGCTTGAGCCACCTGGTTCTCCTTGCTTTAGCAAAAATGTATTAACACATTTCCAAAGACTCTATGCTCTGTGGCAAAACCACAGGACCAAGGCGTTCACCGCCAGCACTCACTGCCCCACTACAGAGGCATCCAAGGCTGCCACCAAAGTTTCCTCGATGTCACCTTTGACTCACTGGCTCCACATTCTTCCACTCTGAAGACGGCGGCACTCTGCGCTTGGTTAAAATGGAATGAACTGTCCGGCGGGGTGATGCGTAGCAACAGCTCCGTGTGATTTGTGACGAACAGGAATGGAGTGCCACTGCATGAGAAGACAAAAACGGAGGGCACTGTTGTCTACAAGGCCAGTGTTGCTTCCGGAGAACTGCATCCTCCGATTGGCTTCCACATGTCGTGCGACCGGAAGGTGGAAGGTGCGGCATGCAAGGACAGCAATTGGGAGGGCCCAGCCCTGCTGTTCCAAACCCTTGAGTGAGTCATCTTGTGCTACTTGACAAGTGAGTCTTGGGCCAGGAAACAAACAAAAAACCAGGCAAACAAACAAAAACCACACCAAAAACCACAACCAAAAACCAAAGAAACCTGGCCAGGAACAAGACTCAAGTGGGTCATGCAGAAGTGAACCCTGGTGCAGAACTGCCAGACTTCCCTTTGGAGGCCCATGTCTTTTCGTCCTTGGGTTAATCCATGAGACGGTCGTCTCCCACGTGCCAGCAAGGAGGGACCCAGGATGAGGGAGAGCACACGGCTTCCTCGCTCGATCCTCCTCATCAGCAGGGCCGGATCGGAAATGGGCTCTGAGCAAGTTACGAGTTCGGTGTTTTCGAAAGTTTTGTTCCAATTCGTTCTTGTGATCATGACTGCCAGACCTGTGAGGAGCCACTTGGAGTTTTTTTTGCACGGGTGGAGGCGCTATGTGTGCCGAGAGGCACAAGTCACCTTGATTGAACTAAATAGGGACACTAAGGAGATACGAGCCAAGCAACAGAACAAGGCACCACAGAACAAACACAACCAAAAACAACCAACACAAAACAAAACGCAGAAACAAAGAGCCGGGCTCGTATCATACCGGGGCTAGCTAAGCCGAAGCAAAAGTTGTAAAAGAG